AGCAGAATGCTGATAAGAATGGGTGCAGTTAAGGTCAGATTCAGGAACTTTCTCTGTGAAATAAGGGTGTCCTAGGTACTTATTGTTTTCAGGGACCGAATAACTAACAGGGAACTGTTAAAGGAGGAGAGGTGTACTTTTGCTCACAGTTTGTCAGGGTTTCAGTCTATAGTCAGCTGATTTCATGGCAGAGGGACATGGCAGAGATTTCTGATGGGGGAGATACAGTTTATGGAATTTCATTCAGAGAGCATATAGAGATCAAGAGAGAACAAGGGAAAGAGGCCCCTTCTGGCTATGCCTTCCCCTTTGGCATACCTCCTCCCATCTGCTTTCATCTGTGACCATCACACTTAGCTGTAAACTCATCACTGGGCTAATCCACAAATGAGTGTCACACCACATGATCCAATCGTCAATCAAAAGCCCCACCTATGATTGCATAAGTCTCTGGGTGGACATCAAGATGTCCTAGGGCTACACTGGCTAGATGACTAGGTGCCATATGTGGTAGGCTCTGGCAGAAAAGTTTCTGCCCATGTAATGAAATGTTGTAAGAAACTTAGACTAATGTTGGTAGACTCATTAATTTTGCAGAAGAAATTTCAAGACTAACTATTTTTCATGTTGTGTGCCATAGATAGCTGAATATGAGTAGCAAGTCTGCAGTGAATATCATGAGAACATGCCAAAGTTGCTTCATTTGGAAACTCTATTGTTTCACCAGAAAGAAGAACCCACAAATTTGAGGAACATGCAGACAATGATTCCTGAAAGTTTAGCATTATGAAGAACTAAAGAGCTTTTTATGGGACAGTAAGAAATATGCCTTTAGGGCATATCAGAAATCAACCACATTTTCATCATTAGAGGATCAAGTGTCTAAAACTGTAAGTCTTTCATTTGAACAAAGAATTGGTCCCCTGCTCATTCAGAGGCACCTAGCATAGTGCATCCCCGAGTTCATCCATCAAGATCCCTAGTGGCCTCTACATCCATGTGTCAAGGGCCCTGGCTTCTGAGTGTAGAAGTCAAACTCTTTGTTCATTCTCATGGTGCTGACATTTCAAGCATTCAGAAAGTGAGAGACCAGGACTCTCAGAAGGTGCCACCCAACTTTCAGGGAAAGGTACGTCTGGATCATGTCCCATGGCAAGATCTTGTGAGACATGGTTAAATGAATCTGTGAGATTGAAGAAAAGTTGCCATGGAGATCCCAGGAAACTGGGGTTCCCAAGTACATGGATTGCCATCTGAAGGAAATCGCAAGTACTGAGTGAGGCCAGCCCAAGAGAAAAGCCATGTGGGCTACAACTGGAATAGTCATAGGGCCAGGAACCTCCAAGCACTATGCAGCTCACATCTCAGCACACTCCACCACAGATGCTAGACATTGATCTAAGGGAGGTCATGTTTGCCCTGCTGAGAGTCATTCTTGCCTTAGGGAAACTCTACTCTACCCACCTATTTTTCCCTTTCAGGATGGGAATGGTTACTTGTGCTCTTGCATAATGGAAGCATTGTGCTTTATTTTATAGTTTTACTGGATATCACAGCTATGAGTTGGCCTAGAGTCTCAGGGAGAGACTTGGGATTTGGAATTTTCCAGAATAACAGCACTCTTAAGGCACTGGCCAGGGTTAGAAATGAATTAACTGCATTTGAATAAAAAGATTCACGTGACCATTTTAAGAGTCAGGGAAGAAATGTTATGGTTTAAATTTCTCCAAAATCCTGATGTTTGGTGGTGAGGATTGCTAGGAAGGACCAAACCACTTTGGGAGTGACTTCAAAGTGTGTATTCTCTCTCCATGGTTTTCTTCCAAGTTATTCCATTTTTCCGCTAACAAAAGATACACTGAATCCTCTGAAAATCCTCTGTGAGTCAACATGAGCATTTTCTCTATTGACTTATGATTTATTGTTATTTTCTCCCAGCCACAAAAAAGAAAGGAATAGAAATATCTATATTGCTGGATATAGATATTGATGATTTGGTATAGATCAGGATTTTCTTTTTGGGTATTTCCAGTTGTTCCCAAACAATTATTTTTGAAACTATCCCTTAGCTCTTCTGATCTTCATTGTCCACGTGTGACCACTTACTGTCCTGAGAAATGTGTATAAAGGGCTGACAAAAGGCCTTTGTTAGATGCTCAATATGTAATGGCCAGTGAGACATAGCTCAACAGCAGAGCACCTACCTGACAAGCACAAGGCCCTGGGTTTGATTCCTGGTACCAAACAAGCAAACAAACAAAAAATCAGGAATTAAGAGAAGCTCTTTGGTCAAACCCAGTTAAATAGACCCAGGTAGATACCTTGTTTTACTCCCATGGAATCTTCCCTTGAAGGCTCCTCCCCTGGCCTCAGACCCCACCCCTTCACCAGAAGCCCTGTCCCCATCCCTCCTCCCCCTTCTTACCTTGAGCCAGTGCCCTTCTCTGATCTCTGTGTGTCCTTTCTGATGCCTGACAGACTAAGCACATCCAAAAGCATGCTTCCTTAAGGAAAAATTAACTAACTTAACTTCATCACCATTTCCAAAGACGATTTGTTGGAAAAAATAGCCAGGCACAAAGAGCAGACATGCTCACATTCCATCTAAATGAAGTTTATAAAGAAGGCCAAGAAAGCAATCATGACACATTCAGACCAGCAGTTGCCAGGAAAATAGCAGAGGCAGGGTGCCTAGAAGTGTATTAGAGCACTTTTTTATTCAACCGAAGTGCACCGTATTTTGATTTGGGTGGAAGAAAGAAAGGTCTACACAACTGTTATTCTAGCTCTGTATTTATAATTTGTGCTTCTCTTATAACCACATTATGACTGGATGAGGAAATAAGTGTAATGTAACATCACCTGCCTAAATAACTCTGAGTCCATTTGAAGTGGGAAATCCCATCCTATGCAGTCACCTCTGCCCAGAGATGCTCTCAGAGAAATGCATCCCCCTCGTTTCCTACCTGAAGTCACTACAGAACCGTATATGTGCTTGTCGTCTGGACTTCTGTCGTAGCATAGAGGTCAGAGTCAAGTATATCAAAATCTTTCTTCAACTGTATCCTTCACCTGATGCACCACATGGAAGGGGCTCAGTCTGCAGGAAGTTCCTGATGCACAGAGGGGCTAAGCTGTATGTAGCACTAGGAGTGGCCAGTGTGCCTTGTTCCACAGTGCGCTCCTTCCTGCTCACGCAGGGTGCCTCCATCATTTGTCCTCAAAGATGAAGGCTCCCTTAGAATCACTCTTTTTTTTTTTTTTCCGGTACCGGGAATCAAACTCAGGACCTTGTGCTTGCCAGGCAGGTGTTGTGCCACTGAGCTAAATCCCCAACCCCTGGAATCACTCTTTAGAGAAGGAATATAAAGGGATGCCAGGGAAAAAACATTCATCTCCTGGATCTGGGCCAGCCACTCCTTTCATGCTCTACTGCTAAGAACTTGGATATCTTCCTCAGCAAAACCACATAACCTCCAGCATAATCGACATCCATTAAGATCACCCTGCATCTGCTATGTAGTCATAGAACCTGCCCCAGGCTGAATCTCTGCACTACAGAAATGGAAATCACTTGCTCTGTGTCTCAGGGTCATTGCTGGAAATTGAATTCGGTTCTGTCACGCTCTAGCACAGGGCCATTTGAGATTTCTGGAACCGTGTAATGCTCACTGTCCTTGCCTCTCAAATAAGATTAATTCACTCCAGTTTCATGTGTGCTGTCCTGAGAGTGAGGTGGAAATAAGCCTTGTATATTAACCTCCCAGAACTTCAACTTTATTTTATTGTGGTGCTAGACTTGGAACCCAGGGTCTTGGAATGAAACACAGGTGATGTGCTCCTGAGCCACTGCCCAGCTTTCCCAGGAAGAAAGTTAGCTGAGAGAAAAACAAACAAACAAACAAACACTCAGAATCAGGGCTATTGTTCTGATGGTGAGGTTTCTGATGTTCTCTGGCCATCCAGAATCTGGGAGCTCTCTGATCCTATCATGATATTACTGTCTGCAGGACCAAAAGGAACCTTCTGGCCTTTCCAGCATATCGTATGTGCTGTCTCTTAGTGTACGGAAACAAAATCTAGAGAAAAAAAGAATACCAGACTCAGGGAGTCTGAAAGTTAGAAAACTGCCATGCTGCCTGGGTCGCTAACCTCACCATGCATTACTCTGAACGTGACAGAACGGCTTAGCAGAGAACGGCCTCCTCACAGTTGTGATGCACGTGTCCATGAACGTTTGGAAGACTTGGGAGCCCCATCAGGCACTCCTGAATGTCACTGTGGCAGACCGTTATGTGAGCCTGCCTTCTAGACTTTCCAAAGACACCACTGGCCTCTGCTTATCATTTTCCTACCCCTCCTCCGTTATCCCTCCTCCCTCTTTGCCTTCACTCTCCCTCTCCCTATCTTCTGCATCTGACTCTGTCTCCTTCCTTCTGCCCTCTCCTACTTCTCGGTTTCACCCCTACTTTCTCCCACTCTGTGTCTCCACTGTGAGGATAGAAAAAGACTTGACCTGTAGCCAAGTATTGCACTCAGAAAAACGGAAACAATTGGTGGAGATGCTTACAGGGGACTAGGACTCCTGAGATTTTGCTTGCTTAAGGACACTGAGTGGTGGTTGGCACTGTCATGCTCCATGTACAGAGACAGAGGGACGTCTCCCCGCCTGAAATCCCAAGCATGTACAACAAAGCATTGAACAGATAGTTGAAACTGAAGATGTCACTGGAGGCCTCTAAAGAGAGGCCTGTCTGCCCTGTGCTCTCAGGAGCCCTAAGTGCCTTCAAAGATATGGGGCAGAGCTTCCTGATGAAGCCCTGGACTCTGTGGTCCAGGGCTGCTCCCAGGCGCCCATAGGATTCAGGGACCGTTCTGTGAGAATCCGCTATTGGATGGTGCCTGAAGCTGAATACTCGTTTGCGCAGGCGCAGTGTGCATCACCCGTTGCATTGTGGGTAAGAACGCTGAGGAGACTTGCGTGTGCCTCATTGTGCCTTCAGAACGTTGAGACCTCGGCAGTGTTGCAGAAGGGCTTCCAGCGGGAGAGGTCAAATAGACATGCAGGCCTCTGAAGACCATGCCGCTGGTGAAGATAGGGCAGAGGATACTGTTAGTGAGTCAGGTGTCCCTGGATCCGCTGAGAGGAGCGACTCTGCTGGAGCAGTGGGTGCGGCTCCCCAACGACTTGAAGAAGAAGGCGCTGTTGCCCCGGAACATCCACAGAATGAAGGGAACATACAGGCCCAAGGGCAGGGTGGAGACGGCTCAGCCTCGGCCTCGACATCGGCCTCAGCCAAAGACTCTGGGCGTGATATGATGACCTTGTATCCTTTCTGAGGGACGGGCTGGAGGTGGCCAGGGACAGGCAGGGGAAGCTGAGGAGCCAAAGGAGCACTGTCTACTGGAGGCAGGGAGAAGTGTAGGGGATCTCAAGGGGCTGGAGGAAGCAGCCATGGTGGTTGTGATTCGCCAGGAGGGAGCTGTGTGGGTGGAGGCGGTGATGTGGACACAGAGGCCTAGAGAGACCCTATAAGGGGTTTAGGGTGGCCTGAGGGACTCACGGGCTGGGAGGAAGGCAGTGTTTGTGACAGAGACACCTTAACCAGGTCTCCACCAGCGTACTGACCGTCCCTTTCCAGTATGCCGCGCATGCACAGGTCGCTCGCAGGTATCTGGCACCTGTCGCTGAATCTCTTCCACGTGGCGTTTACAGGGAGCTGTCAGTTAGCGACAGTGATCTGATCATGTAAGTTCAGCACAGGGCGGGCTCTCTGGGAGTGGGAGGAGGTGCGTGGGTTGGTCTCTGGCTGACAGGGCATCCAGGGGACCTATGGAGACCCCAAGCTTTAGTTTAAAGGGAGGGCTGGGTGTGGTGGACTGGGAGTGCCTGACTGGGGCGCGCTAAGCCACCCATGGAAGGATGGTGTGGATGGATGGGGCAAAAGGTGCACAGAGCGAGAGACCTGAGCACAAGTGCTGTGATTGTGTTTTCCCTCCCCCTCAGTGTACTAACTGCTGAGGATCCTACCCTACTCGAGCATTGCATGGATTCCTTGCTCAGGAGGCTGACCAAGATGCTGCAGACCTTAAATGGACTCATGTATCCCTTACGCTATACACCTCAGTTGGAAAAGATATGGGAAAAGATTTGAATTTTCATCCTGAATCTTCTAACCTTTGGCAGTATGTCTTTCCCTAGGGACTGATTCCTAGGTGCTGTCATCTATGAGGGCCATGATTGGCTCTCTAAGCTGCCACTGGTACATAAATGTCTGCCAATGCAAAAATAAAGCTGAGTCCTTATTGCATGTCTGAGTTTTATATTTTTTTGGTGATTGCTCACTCAGATTTCCTTTCTTTGTCCTCAGTTTGGAGATTGGTTCTGAGGTTGAGATGGACAAGGTAGTTGAAGACAATTTAGGAAATGGAAGAACCTGAAAATCACTTAGGTCTCGCCATTCAGCAGTAACGACACTCAGCATTTTGAAACACATTTGCCCTTTGAGTCGAAGATGTGCATGAAATATATAGCAGTTGCATAAGTGGAAATGGTTTTATTTGCAAGCCTAATATTACATTTTCCCTGAAATTTTTCATGTAGTATGAACTTGAGATCTTTATTAAAAAGCCCAAATTTTCAAAAACATGTTATTGAATAGAAGAAAGAAAAGACACAATACAACATACTTATTGAATATTTTAAATACTCTACCCCAAACTTCTCTCTGCCCCCTTCTTCAGTGAGAACACATAGGGATTCCTCTATATCTGTTTCCACATGAATGCCAGTTTGCTTAATACTGATTACAGTTCATAGAAATGCATTCATTTACTTGTCCTCTTATTTGAGCCTCTAGATCTATAGTACCAAGTTTCTCTCCAGGAATTGTGTCCTCCCACCAGAACGCTGGTTTCCTCACACTGTCTTCATTGCTTTATCTGTGGGTCATTTTCTTGGTATAACAAAAAACAACATTAGTTGCTTAATTTGCATGAAAATAGTAACCAATCCAGAAGGACTGGAGCACACATATTGTGGCTTGCTTTCCCAGAGCCAGATCACTGAAGAAAAGGTTTGGGTCCTGAGTTTGGTACTGGGACCCAGTGTGATTGTGGTCCTTCCAAAGAAAGATGGAGAGGGAGGGGATTCAATGTGGCTGAACATTGGAGGAGGCATGTTGGAGCTACTGAGAGAAAAGCAACTAAAGCACAGGTACCTGGAGGAAAGGGAGCGCCATCACCCTGATGCCAAAATCAGTATCTGAAATGAGAGACTTGCAGATCAATGGAAAAATAGGTGTAGGATTGGAAAAATGATTATCCATACACATGGCTGCCTGTGGGTTTATTTCCTGTTGGCACAGCAGGAACTGCTGCATCCCAGAAACGTCACGCCCCCACCAAAATAGTGACACTGCAAGTGTGGAAGTCTCACTGAACTCAGGATAGATCTGGAATATAAAGTTCCTTGCCTCTTTTGACTTCCTGCAAACAGATGCCACTGCAGCCTGGCGACAAATTGCAGTGCCATGCACAAGTGACTGCTGCCTCCCCGATGGGCCAACAGTTCTGTTCTTTTTTTTTCCTTTTTCTCTGTATTTTTTTCCGAGGTGGCTGACTCTAGAGTGTCTGATTGATTCCTACTGCAATGGTGGATTAAGGGTGCTCAGACAAAGGGGGGGGGTGATTGCTAGTTCAGTTTCTTGAATGCGGAGGCACCTCCCTAATGCTGGCAGACTGGGTACAACATAAGGGACAGGGAGGATTGACACTCTCTCCCTTGTTGCTTTTCTGACTTCTGCCTTCCACAAATTGGCCTCTCCTGTGAAGCCACCCTGCCTTGGTGCCAGCTGATTATGGACTGAAACCTGTACACACTCTGAGCTGAACCCTTTCCTCTTTAACATTGGATGTCAGGTCTTTTGTCTCAGCAATGAGAAAGTTAAGATATACACTATTTCTCAAATATGTGTATATATATATATATATATATATATATATATATACATATTATGTTGATATATTCTGTATCTTCTCTGCCTTCAAGTCTTCTCTTTTCCATTCTTTTTTGATTCATAATGTATGAACTCTGTTGATTTGTCAATGAATAGAGGAGAATCACGTCTTTCAACACGACCCACCCTGCTTTCCATCCACATTCTTCCAGTACGCTTCCAGTGAATTCAGGGCACTTCTGTGGGAATTCTCCAGCCCCTCCTCAAGTAATGTGAAAACTTGTCTTGTTGTTTTCCCCTTTGCCTTAACATTTGTGACCTCACCCAGGCATTATTTCAAGCCATCTCCCTCACTCTCTGGCTGGCTTTTGTTGTGTGATGAACTACACAACAACTTCCTGAGACATTCCACTGTTCTGAGCTGGAAACCTAAACCCCATCATAAGTATTTCTTTTTCCTTTGATGTTCTGTTGTTTCAGTTGTTTAACTGTGTGTGCTTTTGTATTGTTTTGTCTTGTTTTTGCTTCCAGATTCACTAAGATACAATTACTATAGTGTGAATCCCACCTTAGTTTGGTCTTAGGAAAATTAGCAGGTGCGTACATAGAGCTGGTTGGAGGAAACTCAGGAGCAGACCCAGTACTTTCTTTTACAGAAATGAAAACTCAAAACCCCTAGGAAAGTGGCAGCACTGGGCAAATGGATGGAAATTTTGGATCTGCAAACGCGTCGAGTGAAGCAGTAAAGTATTTTCATTGTTGCGTGGGTCTGTTTGCCATCAGAACCAGCGTCCATGCAGACATGAGGGAAGTCGTCAGTCTGCATCTCTTACAGGGAGAGAGTAAAATTAAACCCAAGGATCAAGCTACTTAAGTTACATGATTTCCAGACTGGGCATGCGCAGGAGAAGCTTGCCTTTTCCAAGGAAAGCCAAGTCCCTCTGCTCACCTCAGTCACAAGTCCCTCCGAACACCTCTGCTCCGTTCTCTCCTCTGCTTTCCTTTCCCTGAAAGGTGGCAGCAGCTTGGAGAGTGTCAGCAAGAGGATGCCAAGTGCCTGCAAAGGGGAAGGACAGGCAGCGGTATAACCTCCCATCCAGTGGTTATACTGAGCTTCTATGGTGCTGCTCCTGAACTCAAGAAGGACAAGGCATACAGTTGTTCAACAACAAACACCTGGTAGAGCTTGGGGAGCTCTGCATGGCTTCCAGTGTTGGTCACTGAGGCAGCGCACCTTGTGATAACGCTCAGGCCTGAGGTCCCAGGAGGGCAGATGCAGGGAAGGCGAGGACTATGACTGTGTGGAAGGTTCCAGGATGCAGTCTCTTCACTTCCCAGAGGGGCATAGGGTTGGTTCCGGGCCTCAGGTCTCCCTCTGACATATTCTCTAGCTGAGCCACCCAGGTGGTCTTTTCAGAGAGGTGAAGATCAGCATGGTCTCCTCCGTCCATGATGGAGGAGTCTTCCCTTGGGCCTCCTCACTCAGAGCAGCTGGCACGGCAGACAGGCACACTGCCTAGAGAAAGAAAAGAGATGTGGGGCCAGTGTGAAACCACTGGATGATCCAAGGAAATCGGGGAGATGCTGGTTTCTTACTGAAGACCCTTCCCCAGGCAGATGATGAAAGATGCAGTCAAGTCTTCTTATTATCGAAACACTGGGAACTTCACACGTGCTGCCCCACGCGATAGGGCTTGCACCTAGGCACAAATAGGTTTTTGAAGCATAAAGCTGCCTGTATGGCAGTTGTGCTTGTGAGGGACAGGTGTGGGAGCAGAGTGATATCACATCTGCAGAGATGTGCCCACTGGGCCTTAGCTTTTGCAGTTCTGGCCCCTCCTGTGCATGTGCTTTCTTTCTGCCAACTGAGGAGACTACTTTGTACATCTGGGCTTAATTCAGAGGAAGAGGGTGGTTCCCACCTCAGCTCATACCTTGTCTCAGGAGATCCATTCACAAAACAACACCCCCAGTGAGTCGTGAACTAGCCCTTTCAGATAATTAGGTCCAGCTTTTTGTGGACTTTTAAGTCATGCCTGTATTTGTACACAAATATCCTTTATCTTCTTCCCAGAGTCCTACCAGAACCCCACACTTCTTCCAATTAGGAAAGATCTACCTTTCTTCTTCCCCAAGTGTTATTTACCTAAACTTCTTCATTCTGTATTTTTGGTCCTTCCAAACACCATCCTCTTCAGAGCTACAGAGGTCCCTCATGCATTATACCCCAGGTTTTCACAGGGAAGCCACTGCCTGATCACCCCAAGACCTTGCTGAAATATCAGCTCATGTTCCTTCCTGGAATCTTCCCCACAAGAATTCCTTACTAACCCATTGCAGTCTAATGCCTTTCTTTGAACTAAATGGCCTATCCTTTCACACTGCCCACGATGCTGATGCTTATCAGAAGGTGATTCCAAATGACAAGTTTGAATTGCAAATGTGATGCTGTTATTAAAGGCCTGAAGTGTTCCAATTTATCCCAACACCCAACCCAGCGTTTTGCTCAGGACTGGGTTTCTCTGTCATATTTGTCCACTTTGAGTCAGATCAAGTACACTTCCTTGTGTCAGAGGCCTTGTCCATGAATCACTCTCTGTGCACCTGCACCTCCTGCAAACGTCAACCTTCCTTCTCTCCCTGGGCACCACATCGCCTCTTATGCTGCACACACGTCTGCCTCATGCAGCCTTTTCTGACAGTATTAGTCAGTCTGTTTTTAGCAGTCCTTTACCAATGCCCCATTATTCTACCACACAGATTCTCTCAGATGTGGTAAAAGCAGACAGGGGCACAAGACACATTCTGAATTCCTCAAGACAGTATGTTTATGGAGACCTCAATAACAGTGTGCTTCCAGGGCAGCTCACCCAACCCCCATACATTTCATCCTGTGTACTGCGCTATATGCATCTAAATAGAAGTGAAAAGGCAGGCATTGTGGCAACCACAGCAGTTTCATGGGAAGAGGTTCCTGTGTCCCATTTCCCACAAGAATGTGAGACCCGGATGCTGGTGAGCACTGCAGAGTCCACCCCATTCTGTACCCTGCTCCGGCCCGTCACCATGCCTCAGGGAGACATGCCACTTGTCTCTACTTTTTAGACTGTTTGTTTCTGAGACAGAATTTTGCGATGCTGTTCAGGCTTGGCATGAATTCTCTATGTATCCCAGGTTGGCCTCAAACTTGCAGCAATGTTCCTGCCAAAGGTTACTAAGGATCATCATCTTATTTCCTGTTCTTCAGGGCAGGTGCATTCATATGATGAGACAGGTTGTAATATGAGCACATCTCTATCTCCTTCCCACCATGCTGCCCGGAATGTCTACCTGGGAACTCTGGACTCCTACAG